GGCTTCACAAAGGACACTCAGGCTGTGTGCTTTCAACATGCAGCACACGCAGAGCAAGCCTTTTCCAGGTCAAATACTCCTGCTGCCGCACCAACAAGAGGCTCTCTCTCACTTCTTCTCGACACACCTGGCGCAGTGGGAGTCGCTTCTGCTCCCAATCACTGCCGCTTTCAGAGAGTGACAGCACGCGCTGTGGTGGCACGTGCCAACCAGCCCAGGAGGCAGCAGAGAGTGCTGGGGACCCAGGAGGTCAGGACAGTACGACCTATCCCTGGGGCACCCCTCAACACCAACCACCTGCCACCTGGTGCGTGGGAGTACTGCTGGATTTTCTAATTTTTTTCAAGAGTAGTCAAAAGTATAGTTTTTTTTTAACTGAAATGTCTCATATAGGAGTTGGATATTAATTTTAAAAAATTTAAAGCACCATGGGAGGCTGTTCCTGCAAATTTCCTGAGCTGGGATATTTGGCTAAAAACAGTTTAGAAAGCTCATTAAAATATAAAAACCACCGAGAGCACCCACCTACTGCTACCAAATAAAATACATTTGTGGGATGGTCAGCTGTGGCCAATTTAGGGACAGGGTCCATGAGAATCACCTGGAGGTCCCGCCAAAAAATATGGGCTCCCGGGCCTCGTCCACAGAGATTTGGAGTCAGTAGGTCCTGGACTGGAGCTCGAGAACTTCAACTCTCAACCGTCTCTGGCAAGTGACCCTGCTGCTCGTGGTTGATAAACGACACTCAGACTCACTGCCCTAAATCAGTGTGCAGCTCTGGCAGGTCTCGCGAGCCTCTGCGCCTCAGTTTCCCCATCTGTAACGTGAGTGTACGGGTGAATACTCCCCAGAGGACCATCCACTCCACATGCTCCGACATCCCCGTAACCCCAGACCATCCCAGGAAGATGGCGGCTGGATCCACGCCCGGCCTGCATCTGCCAGATGCCTCTGGAAATTTCTTTCCTGAAACTCCATCCTGCAACTAGCTGAGCATTTTGCTGGCAGCCTCTTGGATTTAGTAACCTCATGCAAAGGGGGAGAAGTCACCTCAAGGCTGGGAAGGAATTGCAGGTGCTGCTACGGGGCTTTGGCGGCTGTCCCGGTGTTTACAAGAGGAGAAGTTCTGTGCGGGAGCAGAAAACACAGGCCGTGGCCGGGGAGCAAAGCTAAGCGGATGAGTACAACAGCAAGACCGCCTTCTCTGAGAGCAGCCGACGTGATTTAGAGTTGAACTGGCGTCAGACGTAATGGGTGGAAGTCACTCCAGGTGGAAGTGGTCCAAGGTCAGAGACAACTTCCAAAGGTCGGAGGAGAATGAAGACAGAATGAAGCTCCACTTTTGGAGCAGCGAGCGGCCCGTCAAACATGACGGAGAGGTGTCTGAAGGGATTGGAGCATCCGAAAGCCTGACTAGACGCATCGGCTCAGTGACACGTAGGAAGCATCTATGATGATGGTTTTCATCCCCCCAAATACAGCGGTGACCAAGACAGACACAGTCCCTGGCCTCACAGAGCTGCCCCCGTGCAGGGAAGACGGATGACGAACAGGCCGTCACCCGCCGTGCACGAGCTGGAGAGGAACGTGCAGTGAGCCACGGGAGCGCAGACAGAGGGGCTCACCTGTCTGGAAGGAACACCTGAGCTGAGCCCTCAAGGTCTACATGTGGGGGAAACCAGGTGCTAGAACATTCCAGGAAGGATCCCTCCCTGCACCGAGTTTCCCCACGTGCGCACTCGCAGGTTGTGGGGAATGAAGGACAGACATCGCGTCCTTCAGGAACACAGAGTGTGTTTCCTTAGCTTCACATCCAAGAATGGCCAGGCATCCAAATAGCCTTCTTCCCTCCAAAGATCCTCAAAAGCTTCCCCAGCTTGCACCCAGTGCCCATGAGAAGCTTCCCCAGGAGGCACCGTTTGCCAAGAGGGAGGACCCACATGAGCTGACAGAAACGCAGGAAGGCGGAGAGCAGATGGAGATCAGGTCCAGCAGGAGCGGCCCTGGGCGCAGGAAATGGCGGTGGGCAGCCTGGCCAAGGGTGCGCACGGGGCGGCAGCTCAGCTGCTCAGCCGTTTACTCCTTTTTGAAAAGCTCAGACTTCAACTCTACTCCTAAAAATGTCCTTTTCTTTGTTTTTCCCAAAAAATCAGCCAAAACCATGAATCGGGACCACAAGAGAATTTAGAAATAAGAAATATAAAATTAGTTGACCAGGTGGACAGGGAGCAGGGAATGTCTCTCTTCATTTTAATGTTAGTTTTTATCATAAAAGTAATGGGTTTTATGCCGGAGCCCACTATTACCACCAAAAAAATCCCAGAGAAACAGAGACAAACATGTGGAGGAGGGTGGGATGGATGTATCGAGACAGACCCCACATTTCAGGTCCCCGAATCCTTCACACCTGACCACCCCTTTCCTCCCATCATTACCGACATTGTTCTCATAGTCCACCCGTTTTTAAAGCTCATGACTTACTGAAGTCTCTTCCTAAACTGTAGCTAGGAGATCGCATTTCTGATGAGCTATTTGTGTTCAGATAAAAACACAGCCATTAATGTCTCTAACTGCCCGGCGTCACCTGAAATCATCCCACACACTGGGTGTGCTGCAGGGATGTTAATTTGGAAAGCGCTGGGCAGATTTTGCCCGCACTCTCTTGTTTATCTGGAACCCAGAAATGCATGCAGGCTGCGGGGAAACTGCCTGAGCACAGGATACGCGTGGGGGCACACACCGTGGTCCTCGGATGTCACGTGTGCTTGGCTCCCTGTCCCCAGGAAGCAGACATGCAGACAGAGGGGTGCAGACTGAGAAATGCCCGACCTCCGTCGGTATCTGCAGGAAGCCTCACGCCAGCCCCGTCTCCCAGAGCCAAGGGTGATGTAAGGCTTCCTGGCTTCATTTTATATCCGGCCCTACTGTAAAGAGAGGGGCCGCACGATGGTTTGAACGGCTCCAATCAACTCCAGCACACAAGAAGCTGCTATCAGAGGGAACATGAAGCCAAACTTGGTGGCTCTGCCTGCCGCCCCACGCTCTTGTCTGTCTCACTCTTTTTGAGGATGAATGAGCTAATACGTGTAATGAGATTGGTCCCGCGATAGTCACATGGTCAGCGATTGATAATGCTGGGTCTTTACTGTGGGGCAGTCCCCCTCGGTGGTGGCGGGGGGGTGGGTTGCTCTCCAAGCAGGCAAGCTGGGCTTCTCATTAGGACGGATGCCCTGGCAAGAGGAGCCAAGTCTGCAAACCTTCATGCGGGGCCATCACCGAGGGGGCCTGTCACAGCCAGGCTGTACCTGCCAGGAGCCCGGTGGCTCCTTCCAGCTCCACAGCAGCCTCATGAGGAAGGACCGTCACTGACCTGTTTGACAGACACGGACTCGGGGCGGGGGCAGTTGCCCAAGGTCATGCAGACAGGAAGAGAACTGCGACTGGAGCCCATGCTCTGACCTCACTCCGTGTCCTGCGGGCACCATGATGGCAAGGGCCCAGGAGGGCCTGATGGCCTGGGGGACAGTGTCCATGACAACGGGGGGCGCTATGCTATTACCCAGCCAGAGTCAGCGGGGGGAAGGGGTGGTTTCTCAAGAGAAACTGGAAATCCATATATTTACATGGAAGTTCTATTTTTCCACATTGGCAGCTAGTTAACATTGTGTAGCTCCCATACCTGCCAAGCCAAACACGGCCACAGGTGGGAGCCAGCCCAGAGCCCCGAGTCTGTGGTCTCAGAGTTCAGGTAAAACTTCCCAGAGCTCTGACCCCCGCGGTCCCTTTATGGGAGCCCCCGCGAGAGCTGGTGGTCCCTGATGCCCCCCCCCTCATCACAGTTCCGGGAACCCACGCTGCCCACCTCCTGAACGACCTAAGATCCCTCCCAGGAGCCAGAGCAGCAGAGAACCTGTCCCCCAAGAGAAGCCGCTCCCCATGGTCCCAGGCCCTCCTGCCCCGCGGGCCCTCCTAGTGGCCACAGCTGAGCCCGGGCTGTTTTTCATTCAGAGAAACAAACAAGCCTGATGTGTTTATAGGGCTGTCCGAACTCCGGAATGGCTCAGACGCTGGGTTTGTAAACCTGGCTATGGTTTTGGACCTCAAAACCATTTCTCAAAATTCTGGGTTCTGCAAAGTCCAAAACATATCCCCCCACCGACATGTTTTTGCCTTGTTAAGCTTTTGTTTGTTTTTCTTGGAATGAAGTCCATATGTCCCAAAATTGTGCATGACAAGTTCATCACAATGTTGTTTTGAGAAGGCCGTTGGATGTCCGAACGGCCTTCGCTTTCAGACAGGCTTGTGTTAAACTCTTTTTTCCCCAAAAATGAAAATTCTCATTCTGCCTGGGGTAACGGAACTTGAAGGCCTGAAGCTGATTTGGACATCAGACAACTTTTCAGGGAGGTTTGAAATGCGGCCAGATACCCGTTGTCTGGACCTCTGATACTGGAGAGCAGATCACTTTTCACAGGAGGACGGGAAAAGGGCAGAGCCTGCCAACTCCTCTGCTACCTGGATGTGCTTTGTCCAGGGCAGCTTCCTGCCACGGGCCCACGGCTCCCTGCAGGGGCGGCCCCCCACCGCCCCCCAGGCCGGGGTATAAAAGAAACCAGCCCAGGGCAGGAGTGTCACAGGCTTGCCCTGCCCAGGGCCACCGTAAACATCCCAGAGTCAGAAATAACGTGGCGGGAGCCACACTACCAATTTACTTCCCACAGAGGCCACGGCCCCGTCCAAGTCCTGATGTGACATCACCGTGTCTATTTCTATGGCGGGTTTTTTTTTTTCTTTACAAGATTAAATAGTTTGCTCTCACATCTCCTCAAGACAGTATTAGCTCTCGGTGTCCAGGACATATCTTGGTTAGAATCCTAGGCACCTGCACCCCCACCCCTGCTGCCCCTCCCACCCACCACCCTGTGTCCGCAAAGGCTCTGCACAACCACAGGGTTGCATCCCCACCCGCCAGTGCCCAGAGGCGGCGGCGTGTCACTCACCATCTGGGTCACACTGTGCTGGGCTGCTGATGCAGGAAGATTTGTACCTCCCATAGTAGAGAAGGGTGACTCCTTTCTCCTCTTTGAGGTAAATGCCCTTGTTGACCTTCCCTTCCACGATGTCTACGTAAGAAGAGCAACAACATCGGGCATCAGCGATTATCAGACTTATAAACAACTGACACATCAACATACTGTATTATTTATGTTTATAATATTGTGTCCTATATATTAATATTAATGCTTCATATTTAATATTTAACTAGTCCTAGTTAAGTTAGAAATCATATAATAAGATGTGACTATTAAATAATAAATTGGTCATATTAATATTTTGTCATCAGTTACTACTGTATTTGTATGTACCATGCACGATACTGAAACGACACTCTAATTATTCCATTGGCTGGGAGCTGGGTTCCCAGGTGACAGCCTCCTACTGTCCCGAACTTCAGCTCCGTCCACAGGCTTCAGGAGCACCTCCTGCCCATCTTCTAAGTGAAACGCTTAGGTACATGTTTGAACTTGAAGACCACCTAAACTCTTTCTCCCTGTGAGCTCTCATTGGAAGCCCCTAATCCTAGATGTGGGAACCTACAATTCTGCAAGAATCCATGTTCAGACTCTGGGAGAAAATCCCGGCAGGGCCTGCTAGCTCCAGGCGGAGTGGCCATGAGCTCCCGTTGGTGCTCGCTGCTCTGTCCACCCTTCCGTCTGGCCCCATTCCCATGGCAAATGTCCCTGATGGTCTGAGTGTGGGGTAAATGGTTTACAGGACCGATAAGTGAAGACTATAAAAACCAAGTGTGATTAAGCATTTATTGTTCATTGGGGTCAAAGTCGCCCAGATACCTCCTCTGCTGAAAGGGCACCTGCCCACTGCCCTTGAGCTGTCACACAGGGGGAGATGTACGGCAGGGCGCTGAGCTCTTGGGGCCTGACAGCTACCCCAGCGCAGGCTTTCCAATGGCCACTGTCAAGGGGATAACCCACCCAATGGGCCTCCGTGTTCTTCCTTACTGTTTTAAACTCTTTTAGTTTATCTCATTTATTGCTGGGGGTGGGGGGATCTATATATTACAAAATTAAATGTATTGCAAAATTAACAGTTGCATGATTGAGTTAGGCTGTATAAACCCCTCAACAAGACTGTCTGACTGGAAAAATTAATTTTGGAAGCCAAACACCTCACAGCTAGAACGGCAATCAGGCTAGGTGTCATACTGAAAACCATTGACGGCATGACCCCTGAATTATCTGAACTCAGTTTCTACACTGCTCGGGGAGACCTCTCCCTTCCGCTTTGAGCTGTGTGGGAAAAATAGGAAATATATGGGCTCTGAGGTTATTAAGTAAGATAATAATTTAACCCTGACTCTACTGGGTGTTTTGTAAGGCAGCTTCTAATAAAGAAAAAAAAATCCAGCTACAGAAGACACGCTGATTTTAATGTTCGTAAGAGATCAAAGTTTTGGTGAGGTATCTTAAAATCAACTTTAATTTTTCATTCAAAGGGCGTGATTTTCCTCCCCTAAAGAATATACGCCATTTAAAAATCCAAACAATTTCTATTTTTAGGAAGTATCTCATGTCTCGGTCTGAAAACAAGCAGCTGGTTTGGGAGACCCTGGTCACATGAAGCTTACATGCATCTTCTAATGCACTGCAGTCACGGTGCTACCTCTAGACCTAGCTGGAAGCAGGTACTCCCAACACCCCAGGTCTTGGGACGCGTTCTTGGGTACAGGCTTGTTCGCTAGACAAGACAAAGTGAACTGATACAGAACCGAATCAAACTGGCCTCTAGATTCATTGCAGATCCAAACTCGACCGAACACGGAACGGAAGGATACAAGTGCTCACCTACGGTTGCAGAGAAATTTGAGTAGGCAGAGTCATTGGTACGAACAAAGGTAGAGTTATGGGAAGGAAGCACAGTGAGGTTGTGGGTTCGCAACACTAGGTGGGACGACAAAAGAAAAAGCACAACAAATGAGTGACATGAGCAACGAATGGAACCGGCATATCTCTCAACCTGACGCGCACCGAGAAGTGGTCTTTCACCCAGCAAGCATCTTGGATTTTCTCTCCCGACCTTGCTTCCCGCCCCCTGCTGCCCTCCCATGCACTGGATGCCACTGTGGCCGACGCCCTGGCCCACGAGTCCCAGAGCCAGGGCGTGACAGCTGCTGGCTCTCGCCACAAATGTGGGTTCCAATGTGCCGCGTCCAGTGCCCTCGGATACTTGGTTGAGAGATATGGAACTGAGCTCAGCGGTAAAATGGCCTTAACGAAAGGGTTCGTGGTGGTGATATCACGACTGATGAGCCGGGGACACAGCATGGAGGTGACGGCACAATATCATGACACGTGGACACAACAACAGAGGATTCAGCAACAAATAACACAGCTGCATGAGCACCAAATGGCTGCCAAAGCCATTCAACTGTCCCCGGCAGCAAACCGTGCCGATGGGCCCTACTCTCTCTGTTTCTGGAGAAGCCCGTGATGGAACTGAAACGAGCCAGCCTGGCATTGTCACGTGAAGAACAGATCCAGGGGCTGCGGTGACACCGTCACCATTCACGTGTTCTGGGACACCCGTGAACACACTTGAGTTCTCGGCAAGTTAACATGTCGGTCAACAAAATTCAGCCACGACCTAATTGTGTCTTGGTGATTATATGACTTTACGAGAACTCCCCACAGATACAGGTGTTCAAGACACCCAACATTACTGGTCTGATCACAACAGTGATCTGTGTTGAGGGGTTAGGAGAGGAATATAAATATTTGAGCTACTGTTTGAAATAACTACTAAAGTGTTAGTTTCTGTGTCCTGAACAATGAATTATGTCGACAATGCGTTTCCACTTGGTGGGATGGTCTCTTTTCACAGGCTTTAAAATAAAGGCCCTGAGAAGAGAGATGAGATTGTAACGGGGGGGAAGCAGTCCATTTTCACCCGAGCTGGTCATGTAATGACCTCCACAGGGAGCTTACATGCCTGTGGTGCAGACCATTCAGAGAAAACACGGAGCTCCAGGAGGGTCTTCCGTGTGGCCGCCATGCCTCACCATGCACAGGCAGGCAGGAGGGTAAGCTGAGGGCCCCCGGGCTGGTCTTGCACAGGTGGGTCCTTCCACCCTTCTGGAAGTCCCTGCTCCTTGATGGCCCCCACTCTGAGGACACCGGTGGCCCAGAGTCTAGCCAGAATGCTTCTTGGTTGACAATTTTAAGGGAAACGTTTTAGAATCCTAGGCGGCAATTTATGGCAGCGTGTAAAGTCTCCAGGGTAAGGAAAATGCCAGTGTGCTGGTGTGGAAAGCACAGTAGTCAGCAATGTGTGGGTGTTTTATAAAAACTCCACTGCACAGAACCAAAGAGACCCGATGTGAACTTGTGCTGGGATGGTTGCAACCACCTTGCTGCCTATGTCAGCCATGTGACTTAATCAAGAGCAATAAGGAAATAAAATTAAAATGTAAAAGCATCCCAAGGCACTCAAAACTTGTACTGGGAATAAGTTTCTTTACTGGAATGGGAGAAAGTGCTCAGGGGCATCTGGGGTTTCTCCTTACGGCAAATGTCTGAATTCGGTCAGAAAGAGGCTGTATTTTCCGTGGACTTAGGGACCTTGAGAGCATCTTGGGTGATGTTTGGTCTTTTCAAGAGAGCTGCCAGTGACATGTGCAGAAGCTGATTGGTCGGTGGGGGTACCTCTGCTGAGTGAACCAGTGACCCCACGAACATGCACGGTAGTGCTGGTTGGCACGCCCTTCGGCACTCGGCTCAAATGGCTCCCTGTTTTGGCAGGCGTGCAGGTGATGCCAGTTTGGTCTATCTAGAAAATATACATCTAGACTCGTAGGCAGACTGACCCACCATCTGCAGCTTCAAGCTTCAAATAGCTACTTTTGCTTTAAGGTTATTGGGGGGAAGGCACACAGGTTAATGATATTATGAACCACAAGTTCTGTCCTTCCATGATAAAAATATATCAAGGTTCTAGTAAATAAAATACTTTGGGTGAACAGTGACTAGGGGGAAGCTCCCCAACATGCCCTAATCTCCACTAATCTCCTGGCTTCAAAGTGGACACTGTCCATGTCCGTGTCCCCCAACAGCCCCCGACCCTGTGTCTCCCGTTCCTGCGGCCTCGGGGTCTCTCACCACCCATGTCTACCTCCAGTTGTGTCCTGAAGCTCATGGATCCCATCCACATTTTCCAGCGGCCAGTAATGGGAAGCAGAAGCCAAGACCTCAAACCCTGGGGGGAAGAAAAGAATAAACATGTTAAATCGCCATCAGGAGGGAAGAGCCGCTCACCTTCCACACGGTGAGTGGAGGGAGGAGCAACGTCACAGTGACTGTGGGATTCGCTGAGGAGGAATTTGAATAAATTCAACACACACTCCAGGCATAACGGGGCCACACGAGAAGCGTGTCCTTTCGGGTCAGAAGAAAGGCAAGAAGGGCCACTATCCCGTATTGCTTATACTGTTTTAGACGACATACCTGATACAATCAGATGAGGGAAAGAGATAAGGTTAAAATGATTTAAAAAGAGGAGGAAACCAGCACCAATATCACCGACCTCATGTAAGGCTCTTGACAAACACCTCCTTGTTTTATTGTAACAATAATCTGTCAGGTAATTATATTGTTTGCCTATTTGTAGAGACGAGAGGCTGATGCTTCATCAGAAATCGCCCCACTGGCTGGTTTGAGGGGCAAGGCTCACTCCAAGTCTCCCCAAGACAGCTCCTGGTCCTTCTGCTCTCGCCCCACTTCCAACATACTAAAAATTAACCACTTCAGGATTTCCTTTATGACCCTTGTACTTTGAGTAGACGGATTTTGTGCAGATACGCTGTGTCCTACTCTGCTCGTCCTACTTAATACCCCATGAACTATTTCATGTATTTGCTCCTATCCAGGCTCCATGGTGGGGTTTGGGGGACAGTCCCGGGGGCACCGCCTCCCCACGCACTCAGCCCCTTGCCTGGCTCCAATCTGCTCCCCGATTAGCTCTCTCTGATTAATTCCCAGAAGTGGACATAGTGGTCCAGATGACAACATAATCATCAACCGCCCGAAGGTTCTGCCAGATTGTAGAGAAGTAAAAATTAATAAAGTTGTCTCTCTGTTATTCATCGTAAAAAAATATTTAAAGAGGAGATAATACGATCATTATTTTCAAATGGGGTATGCCTCACAATGAGAATGAAAGAAGGAAACATTCTTACAAATAAGGAAAGAATTTGGTAAATGAAGCCCTGTTACCCAGCAGGAAAGGAGTAAGGAGGTTTATACAGATGTGACCCGCAAAAGTAAACAGCTTTCCTGTATTCAAACGATAACACGAAAACAGAACTGAAGAAAAGTTCTATTTTGTAAATGCAGCCCGCAAAGGGAAGACATTTAAGTGCAAAAGAATGAGGACCATACAAAATTCTCACAAAGAAAACAACAAAATAATACCAAGGGATGGACAAGTACCCTGGAATAATGAAGAATTTTGTAACCTGTTTTCGGAAAAGAGAACTCAAAATCATAAAAATGTCAACCAACCCTTGAATTCATATATAAACATGAGGAAATTCATTGTAAACATGCTGAGAGATTTTGTGTGAGAGAAAGCTCATTTCGGAGCTTATCTAGAAAAGAAACAAGCAAGAATAACCCACAAACCTGCACGGGGAGAGCGGGGGGGGCACCTGGACCTCACACACAGTGAGACTTGTCACGAGGTCACCACTGCAAAGAGGATCTGGCACTGCGTACAAATAGACAGTTCGGTGGAAAAGACCCGTAAATATCACCACGCACATGTGAAACTAGCTTATGATAAAAGTGGTCTTTAAGGGCCACCTGGGGGTCTCAGTCGTTGAGCGTCTGCCTTCGGCTCAGGTCATGATCCCGGGGTCCTGGTATCGAGCCCCATGTCGGGCTTCTCCCTCTCCCACTCCCCCTGCTTGTGCTTGCTCTCTCTCTCAAATGAATAAAATCTTTAAAAAAACTTAAATGTAATAAAAATAAAACATAAAAGCTTCTGAGGAAAGCAGGTGATACATCTATGTGAATTTTTAAAATATTTTCATACATAAAAATAAATCAAGCTAAATTGAATCGGGGAGTGATGTTTATGTAATACATGGGACAGAAATGTACTGATTTCTTTTTTAAAAAATGTATTAAATTTATTGTATTCATTAAAACTCCCACTATTAAAATTTAAACCAACAGAACATTGGGGCAAAGGACATCAACAGGCAGTTCAAAGAAAGAGGAATGAAAATTATTTTTAAATATATGAAAAGACGTTCAACGTTGCTCATAATTTTTAGAGGCATGCCTAAACTCAGTGAGCCTGCCTGTCCCAGCTCAGCCAGCCGACTGACAGATGTACTAAGTTGGCACGTTCTACCACGTTTTTGGCGGAAGGTGCAGCCTTTCTGGAGGGCAATACCGCAATGACGATACAAATTTCAAGTGCACTTTGATCTAGTAATTCAGCTCCTAGAAGTCTGTGCTAGAGATAGACTCACACATGGGATCAGAGAGCTATGCACAGGGGTATTTGTTGCAGGATTTTTTTTTTATAGTATGGAAAGCAGTGAACAAAGGTAATGCTCATCAGCAGAGAGACCGGGTACTAAGTACGGAGCATCTACATAATGGACCAGGATGTAATTAGGACAAGGCTGATGCACGTGTCCTGATGTGAAATGTTCCTCAAGCTATATTGTCAAAAAATCAAGGTGAGAGAAAAATGTGTTAGTACCAACTATTTGTGGAAAACACAGCTGTTCAGCAGGCAAGGGGGAAGGGAAGGATGGAAAGGAAGAGAGAGAGATTTTGCATGGATAGCCTAGAAATGGACAGCCGTATTTTAGGGGCGAGGAAACTGAGCAACTGCATGGAAGACATAAGAAGATTTCTATTCCTCTATATGTCTGTTTTATTCGAACGTTTGGACATGCATTCTTTTAAAAACTTAAGATGTGAAGACATGTGACTTCAGCCGATGTCCGCTAGAATTGGATCTACTCTAGCAATGCAATACAGAGACTCTGAAATGTCAAAATCAAAAATACTCATTTCCATTTCTACCATGCTCCCCCCCCCACAAAATGTAGGCTATTCATTTTGAAGAGGGAAACATCATTGATTTGTTATTCATCTGGGGCGGGTGGGAGGGCGGGGCAGGGTGGGGTTGGGGGAATCAGAAAAGGGAATGACATCCGTCGGTGCGGAATCGGCTTCACAACCCACATCTTCATCCGATCAACGCTGTGGCTGGTAAATCCTTCCCTATCACCCCCATTCACTATCGACCACCACCCATTCTGGGCAGAAAGGCTGAGAGTGTAAAAGGATGGTGGTCTTGTTCACACAGGAAGCCCCCCGAGGAAGCAAGAGTCTGTGGGAGAAGGGGGTTGGGGTCCACAGACGGCCTGCTATCCCATATCACTGGGCTTCAGACAAGGACAACACCCCACTGCGTCGCCCCAGACGCCAAATACGGGCAACACAGATGGTCGGACGGAATGGAGACGCATAGTGGCGGGCTTGCAAACTGAAGTGTGCCCGGGGGCCGGGCCCGAATGTTCATGACGGTCTCCCACCTGGGGCAGCAGAACCACAGCAGGTGCTAGAAACGGGAGCCACCGCGGTGGGGCCGAGGGTCTTGGGGTGGGGGCCGCGGCCCTCTGGGAGGTGTGTGTCCTGAGGACCGCGCTGCTCCCCGGCCGGTCCCTGCGGCTCTGCAGGGAGGTCTGCTCAGCACCGCCCTTTCTCCCGCTTTTAGGGAGAAGTCAGAAACCCAGATTTTTCTTTGAAATCTCCCCAAATCTTCATGTTAGCAATTATGGTAATTATTTTAACTAAAGCATTGCGTGGTGCTAACAAGACGTGCCTAAGAACTAAATTCAACACGTAGGTTCCCCTTTACAACCTCAGGCATAAAAACCCATAGCCCTACGAGTGTCATCAGAACAAGCAAATCTCGTTCTTTTGGGAATAAGAAAGACCCCCTGGGGCTACGTTCCCAAAAAGAAGGTGCCCTGAGATGTCCAGGTTATACAAGCACCTTGGTTTCCACCGGATAAACCCCATAAAGACTACATGTCTGCGTAGGCAAGACAGCAAGCTGATCACGCGGCTCCTTCTGGGACTTCTGGCCCTAACGAATAAAATGACAGAGCAAGAGAGCTATTCAGCTGACACCACCACGGTTAGATCGAGCTCTCCAGGAACAATTTCTCATCCCAATGCAACATGCTGGACTCAGCCTGGTGTGGACAGCTGATGCTCCGGAGGAGTGTTAACGCAGCCCTCTCTTTCTCCTTTTCGGGTTTTCCCCTGATCCTGCACGCTCACCCCTTCTCTGTGACTCGTGAGCGGGAACCTCATCCCCTGAAGCTGCAGGAGAGTCCGTCCCGGAGGCCCATGCCTCGTTCAACACAAGCATATGCCACGGAGGAAATCAGTCCCCTCCTGCAATGCTCCTCCCGCGGTGAGCACCAGAGTCCCGACCGCGGGAGCCTCAGCCCCGGTGACAGCCCACGCACCACCAGCTCCGCTCTTTCTGCCAATTCCTTCCTTGTTCGCCCACAGCACTTACTAGTACTTGAATACTTTTGTTAATATATTTGCTGTGTCAGACTCTTTGATCCATCTGTACCACATTCTCACGTCTAACACAGGGCCTGGGTGTGTCTGAATGTCTGTGTACTCCAGATTTTTGCATTTGGATTCTCCCCAAAATGGTAATCTTAGTGATAAATTTTTTCAAACTATGTAGGCAGGATGGATGATGAAATGTAATCATGGATAAATGGATAAAAAGTCTATATATATATATATATTTCTGAAACTATATATACACCCCAAGAATCTCTATTGGTCCAATTTCCATTTGTTCAATAGAGTATAAACATTATTTTTAAAAATTCCATCACGAACACTTTCCTTTGCACTGGGAAGATGAATGAAGTTTCTGGCAGGACCTAGTGGTTCGGACAGCCCCTTGCAGACCATATAACACTGTGGTGGTGACAGATGTTAATTCGCCTTACTGCAGTTATCATTTTGCAATATGTACAAATATTGAAGCATGACATTGTACATCTGAAACTAAAATAATGTCAATTACGCAATAAAAAAAATACATAAAGGGAACAAACTGTTGATTTGCACAGAGAAATAACTAGTCTGCAACCAGAGGGAATTATAATCACCATAACCACCCGCGTTGGCCTCCCAGACCTCTAAACAGGGCCGTGAGCAGAGCTACCCGGACCTCCCGCAGTCGGTCCGGAACTAGCAGCTCCCTGTACCCCAGGCCTGGGAACGGCTGGATAACAAAGTCCTGTAAGGTCCCTTTTCCTCATTAGAGAAGTTATCTAAACAGCATGTGGGTAAACTTTTTAAATGCCCTGCAATTTCTTGGCCGGCGCCGTTTATGGGTTTAGGTCTATCAACCATCACGCTTCCCAGCATTGTCCTCAGAGCGGAGCAAGGACTCAGTGGCCCGGGGCCTGGGGCCAGGGGCAAGGCTTAATGCTGTCACTTCTCCACGGTCACAGAGAAAGAGAGATGAGAGTGTGGACAGACCAGCCAAGGACGGCGCCCCCGGGGGCCACCGCGCAGCAGGCCGGCCGACCTCGCAGATTCCGCTCACCCTCGACCTACGGCGCATGGTCAGGCCAAGGCTGGCTGAGCGCGTCCTGCGCGGGAGGCAGTGCGCTCGGTCACAGCAAGATGGGGACGCCTTGCAAGCCCCGGCACGACCTTAAGGGGGCAAGTCTGGAGTGGCCGTGGCAGAAACAGGGGGCCCTGCTGGAGGCTGGCCCCAAGTCCGTGCACACCCCCCGCTCAGCACCTACCACGCTCTCGTGGCCCCCGAGCGCCCCTACGTGTCCGAGCCCACCACCACCTTGTACCCTGCGACCTCGGCAAACCCCCTGCTCCTGCCTGCAGGAGGGTGCAGGCTCCGTCAGAGGACGCGCTGGGGACCCCACAGAATGTACGTCCGAGCGCCCACTAGGCTGCTCCGTGATCCTCAGAATTCAGGATGACAATTTACGGAGCTGTTCTCTGAGGGGCGGTGATCTGGGTGGTTTGCAAACGCTCCCCCTTCAGGAACGGGGTCCCTGCACGTCTCTGTGTCCGTGAGCCCGAGCCCTTGACAGGCGCTGGGCCGGGCCTTCCCCACCGGGGCTCCTCCCGGGACCCTGCGGCTGGGGCCCCCAGAAGCAGGAGGGAAGGCGGCCTCGTGGGGCGGGTGCCGCACGGACCATGGGGGTCGGACTTCCCTGCAGGATGTAGACGTGAGGACCAGAGAGAGATAAGGGGAGACAGAGACACACAGAGAGTGAGACAGAGAGACACCAAGCACAGAAATAGACAGTGAGAGACATACAGCGAGACAGAGACAGAGAGGCTGACAGACACAGAGAAAAGGAAGGGGGGGGAGGGGAGGGGGGAGGGAAGAAAACGCAAGCACTAGGGTTTCGTCCACCAGGGAACACCCACGGCCATGTCCGGGGCGCGTCCGCCTCTGTCATCATGGTCAAGGAGGAGGAGGAGAGGTGATGAAGCGTCAACAGTGTGTGGGGGGGTGCAGGAGAGACCCCGAGACGCGGAAGTGCGACAGGAAGGGAGCCCGTGGGCGTGGACGTCGGCAAGGAGGCTGAGCAGCTCCAGCTCTCCACGCGGGTTTGTGTGCTCACCGCTGTCCACACTCGTCCGCCACCATGCTGTCTGCGGTGCTGGTTATGGAGGAAGCTAAGTCAGCTTCCACCCGAAGTTAGCGGGTGAGAGGAGCAATGCTTCCATGTGGAGCAGAGACTGAATTCGAACTGCTCCTTGCAGCTGAGGGTCAAGGGTCCAGGTGCATACGTGTGGATGCGTGTGAACAGGTGTGTGTGGGGGTAGGTTTGGACATGTGTGCATACATGTGGGTGTGTGTACAAGGGAGTGGGTGTGTGCACGGGTGGGTGTGATGTGTGTGCATGCGTGTGGCTATGTGTACCTGAGTGTGGATGTGTGTGCATGAGTGTGGCCGTGTGTACCTGGTGTGCACATATGTGGGTGTGCACACACGTGGATGGCTGTGAATGCAACGTGGCCAGAGTATGATCTGGAAACCACTTCCCAGCTTCCTTTCCCACCCCGGGCAGCAGCGTGCGTCTTGGGGGCTGCCTTACCCCCTGCCTGCCCGCCGACACCTTCCCTCATTCTTGTGCACTGGAAAACCAGCAGGAGCCACGGCCGGCTCTGGTGGGAAGGGGAGAGCCTCGGGGGCAGACACACACACGCTCCTCAGTGTGATGCCTCTGTCCGCCCTTTGGGGAAAGAGGAGCGCACAGAAATTCATGGCCTTCACACCTTTTCCAACAGACTTAACTTGGGCATGTGGGTGAAGAGAAACAGGAACACCCTGCCACGGAAACAGGTAGTCCAGGCAGTGAGCCCTACCTTGCTGGATCACCCACAAAGGAGACATGTCGGTCCAGCCCCATGACTGAGGTCCCAGGACTCCCAGCAGAGGCTGGCCTTGTCCCTGGGTGGCCCGGGGATGCTGGCTGTGCCCATAGGTTCTGGATGGTGCCCGGGAGGGGGCTGGGCTGCAGGTGACAGTGGCCGGTGGGAGCTCTGAGTCAGAGGCGTGCTCCCCAGTGGGTCAGGGTTTGTTCGCATGGCTCTCGGGTACAGGCTCAGGGACCTCGACGGGTTCCTCACCCCCACACACAGGCAGCCAGGAGGCCCAGGGCACCGCGGCCCCCTCCTTCCACGCGCCTGCACCTGCGACATAGCCACACCACTCAGGGACAGCTTGCAGACGGGGACTCGCCTTGGCCCACGGACAGTGAGCCCCAGCTGGGTCGGGGACAGAGAGGCCAGAGCCCTAAGTCAGCATGAAGACACACGGCAGGAGTTAGGAGAGCACCTTCCCTTCATCGTAAGGTGGCAGTGACAGAGAGCCCGAGGCCTCCAGGCGGCAGGCGCACCTGGAGGCACCAAGGTGTGACCCTGGGATGAGCAGAGCACCAGGAGACGAAAGGCAGGGCCGGAGGGGCGCAGAGGGTCACGCGGAGGGGCCGCCCTCCACTGGCTGCGGAGACGAGTGACCGAAGCACGTGCGGAGCCCCGAGCCAGGCGGGAAGAGCACAGGAGGACGCTCCCTTACCTGGATGGGCCGGTGACCTGGAGAAGGCTCCGCGCACCTGCACACAAAGACCAGAGGGTCAGACACGGCGGGGCAGCCGCTGGCAGAAAGCTCCAGTCCGACCCCAGACAGAGCGGCTTGGAGACGTTACCTGGAAATCCCAAAAGATCAGTAGCAGCCAGGGGTGCCCGCCCCAGAGCAGCCCCCTCATGGCTGCCCGGAGGTCAGGGTGCCACCCGAGCCCCGGTCCTGAGGGTCTGCTGCCCAGCGCGTGCCCTAACTTTCACTTCCCCAGGAAAGGGACATTTTCACAGGTTCCGGAAAGAAAAGATCTGCTTCTCCTTAGTGTGTGGAGCGCAGCCGTCCTGAGAGCTCACGGGCGTCTCTCCCTTGTGCTGAGAATGTTCAGGGCCCGGCGTCCCGGGAGGGCAGCCCCCAGCCGGCCGCCGTTCACAGAGCCCCGCGGGGCCGTCCACCACCGTCGGGCTGGCCTGGCTCTCAGGAGTCTCGGTCTGTCTCCATCCGGGCTTGGCGATCAGACCCCTCGCTCCTTCCCTGAAGTGGGCAGAGCGAGGAGACCCTCGGGGACGCCGGGTCCTGGCGCTCCTGCCCGGCCCGGCCCGTGTGTGCGCTGACTCAGCCCGACGCCCTGCCGGCCCCAGCTCTGGGTGGAGAGGCAATGATGTCAGGCTCTCTCCTCAAACTTTGTTCTGGTCGGCTTCTCTATTTATACCCCTTGCTGCCGCGTCCTTCCTGGGTCCTAACACCGGGCTGTTGAGAACAACTGGCGGACCAGACAGGCACGGGCGTCCGCAGAGAGCAGATGCTTCCCGCCAGCACCCTCCAGGGCAGAGCGAATGTTCCTAACGAGAAATCGGACAACAAACCATGAACTGTGTTGACAGCTGAGCCTTTTTTGTCCGAAGGAAGAAAGAAGGTGATACACAGATGGCAAAGGAAAATAAACCACACCCACGTGCCCCCAGAGAAGTGCTGACCACATGTTTCTCTTTAACCCTTTCAGAGGCAGGTGAAAGCCATGGGATTATTTACAGGGTCCTCGGTGGAATCACGCCAAACCCCATATCCACCAGCATCCAGGATCCTGCTCTCCGGGGGATAACAGAGTCAGACCCTGAGCCTCAGTTTACTCAAGACTGAATGTTTATCCAATCTACCCCAAATCCACGCTCACACGCAAACACACGCTCACACACACATGCGCTCGCACTCACATGTTCACACACACGCATGTGCTCAAGCTCACTCTCGTGCACGTACTCACACACACGCTCAGAGACACTCACACATGCTCACACACGTACATGTTCATGCTCACACAGGCTCACATGCACTGCTCACACTCACACATGTTCACACTCACTCACACGATCACAGTCCGCGCTGTAGTTTGCTCTGCGGTCTGACCCATGCTCGCCTCGCTGAGCCGTCTCCAGCATCTGTGAGCTGTGTGCTCTCAGGCAACTTACTGACCCTCTCTGCGCTTCTGACTCCTTGTCTCAGGGATGGAGGCCGCAGTTCCCACCCCACTGGGTTGTAAGGAGAAATGAGGTGACGCATACGAGGCCCCAAGGCCGTGCTTGGGGACTATGTAACACTCCATAACGCTCGCCAGGAGAAAATGTCACTCAATAAACATCGGCCACGATGCTGACTCTAAAGTAGACAAGAACACCCATGCAATGTTAGCCAAGAGCATTGTCTCCTTCGTCCTGACTTTAAATGGAATAAAGTCCTGAATCCAAGCACTTCCTAAAGAGGATACGAAAATGCCTTCCAGTCTCCATGGGAAAGGGAAAAACCCAAACAGGATGTCAAACGGGAGGTGTCTGTAACAGGGCGGCAGCGCCCTAGCCTCCGAGGGCCGCCAGCCCCGAGCCTTCCCACGTGGCTGCAGAAGGTTCCAGATCACTGCTGGGAGCAACGCCTCCCTCAGGCACCGGCGAGCCCTGAGCTGCAGTACTTGGGCATTTAAACAGCGACTTGACCCTGTTGCCTGGGCTGACCGCCGAGGAAGAGCCGCTTACCGCCCATGTCCTCGGGGTCGGCAGGCTGCCTCCACAGGGACGCGGTGGCGCGGGCGCTCCTCCCCGGACTTCACTGAACACCGCTCAACGGACCTCTCTCTGTGCCAACCTCTCCCGTTTCCACGGCTGAACAAAGCCAGGATGTGCCCCTTTTAATCTCGGAAGTGCCGTCAGATCCGTCAGATCACGGAGGCACCCAGCTCAATGGCAGTAATAAACGCTGCAGCTAAAGCCGATCGGGCGGCCTGCCCCCAGGTGTCTACACTCACCAGGGACTGGCGTCGGATCCGAACCCCAGACCACGTGCTTGTGCTAATTCACATCAGCTGTCCCACGTCTCCTCCCGATGTTGAGATGAGCCCACCTTCATCCAAAGCGGCGTTTCCAGGGCCGTACTTGGAGGTGGCGCAGGCGGGCTCAGGGCCGGGGCCACAGCACGGTGGGCCCCAGTGAGGCTCAGGCCGTTCCCGGACAGCGTCCTGGCCCCGGGACTCCCGCCCTGACGCCCTCCCTGCTCGTTTCCTCCCCGTCACTTCTCCCTGCCTGATGTCTCTACACCTTCAGCCCTCATTCCCCTGCCGTTGGTGACTCCCCACCGCAGTGCAAGCCCTGTGGGAGCGGGGACATCCTTCCGCATCCTCAGCCTCGGGGACAGGGCTCAGCACTTTCCCCTGGTTTTGCCGAGCTGCCAGACACCCTGCTGCGCCGTCTAAGTCCAGGGTGTACGCATGCTGGTTTGACTCACATGTAAAATGACCATCTCTCTTCTAGAGACACACACAAAGGGAAGGAAAAACAGTGTTCCTTCCTCGTCCTGAGAATGTTTAGGGTCTGCTCACCACGACGATCCCATAAAGCATGTGGTAGTGTCACCACACGGTGCGCGCGTCCCCGGAGCTTATCTGTCTCACACATGCGGACCGTGTGAGCACCTTCCTCCACTCCTCCTCCGCATCCCATCGCCTCTGGTAGCCCCACACCTGATCCTTGTTCCAGGAGTTTGGGGCTTTGTTCTGTTCTGTTCTGAGTCCCCCATAAGGGAGATCATACGGCATTTGACTTATTTCACCCCGCATAACGCTTGTCGGCTGAGCAATGTTGCATCACATCTATACCCCACATCTTCTAGACCCGTTCGCCCACTGATGGACACATACCCCACATCTTCTGGACCCGTTCGCCCACTGATGGACACA